ATAAAAAAGAATTGTTTGAACAAAAACATAAATGACAAATGACCACTATCAACGCATGCAATCTAGCATGCAGCCTACAGATATTCCAGGTTTGTGCGATACTTTGTTTAGCGCACGCATTTATGAGGAATCAAGAAGACGAGAAATGTAATACCAAACACTCCTTGAAAACCAAAAACAGTTCTTCCAACAACAACAACAGTGGCAGGAAGATCACTACCAGGGCATGCAATCTAGCATGCAACATTATGTAGATAACATTTTGAGTTCAGTGCGATCTTACATTGACGAACAAAATAATAATATGCTGAACAAATTATCTGACTAGGAATCAAATATGGAAGCTGTTATAGGTTCCCTTCAACAAGATGTTCTTATCCATAGAAGCCCTGTTCTGAAGCGTGTCCCAACATCTCAATAAATTAAAGATGTTACAAAACTAACAAAAGAAAAAAAGGTAAAAGAAAAAAGATATAGTCTTCAACACATCAACAAATTATCCTTTGGAAGACTATTATATGGACAGATACACAACAATTAGATATTGGGTAACAAAAAATCCATCAAGCTAACTAATCTAATTTTATTTCATTAGCTTAAATATTATTATTTTAATTTCATTTATTTCAAACTAAATAAAATTATGTTAAATAGTGCATATTGGAATGATGGATCTAAAAATGTGTACGGAAGAGAATTAATAAAAACTATAATGGATACAACACAAATTATCACTATTGCGGTTAGTAAAATTCATTCATCATAATACATTTAATTCCATGTGTAATATATTTAATTTACATTTATTTATTCTATTAGAGTCTTGATCTGGAGTTCGAATTTTTACGGTGGCTCATCAACAACGATTCCATACCCGTTTCAAAAGATTTGCAATTCTAGACTTCAAATATGCGAATGAGTGTATTAATCAAAAGATGGTGCAAGTAGAAATCTGGGGAGGGAGTTCTAGTAGAAATTCAGGGAATTTAACTATTTTACAAGAATACGTAAATGGCTTGCCAGTAGCTGGTCGTCCGTAGATAAGATGCAAGTATCTATTAATTTCATGTTCGTACCCAGGTAACACTTGGTATATTTTTCTTGTAAATATCCCCGAATGGAAATTTCAGATATACGACCGTAGCCACAAGGTTCACACGGGACCAACAAATCAAGGCACATTCAAATGCAGTACTCGATTTAACTCAAGCATTATTAATGTCTCCAGAATTTTCTACCTATAGACACTATATAAGGAAAAATACAAATAGATTAATGGAGGTAGACACCATACCATATCAACCTTGTGCAAATAATGGATAAGTATTTAGAGCCTGTTTGATACAGATTCTCATTTTCTACAATAAATCAATTCTCATTTTCAACCACACATTTTTCAATAAAATAATATTTTTCATCACATCAATACTTTTTTCTTCTTTTTCAACCACACATTTCCCATCATATCACTATTCAAAAATCAATTCTTCCTCCAAAAATCTCTACCAAACACACTCTTAATCTATTTACTGTTTACTATAATATTTCGTTCTCTACTTCATTTAATTATACATTTATGATACTAATTTAATTTAACATAAAACTATTTCTTCCGTAGGCCAAACTGTGGAATTTTTTTACTCAAATACATAGAATGCTTCATTCTAGGATATCTAGTATAATCGATTTCTGCAGACATGATGACTTTATATAGACGAAAGATTGCAATTGATATTTATTTTAATGAATACTTATGACGTCCTCGTTGATCCTGATACTACTGGATAATCATATTTGTGCAAAAAAAAATGCTGACATTGGATTCATACTTAACAACACAGTTGAAGGAAATCATATACTTACAAACATAGAGGTACATATAAATCAATTATTCTTTATACTTACGCACATGTTAAATGTTCACAGTTTGAACTACATTTCCAATTATGAATTTTTATTCATTGTACCATTTAATAATTATCTTAATAAATTACTATTTGTAACTTTACTCTTCAAATTTCTGTAGTAGTCACTTCAACAACTAGAAATGTTTTACATTTATTTTATTTTCACGGCTATATATATTTTTTCATTTCGTGAAAATGATGTACAAGAAGGATCCTTCTTGGCAGCCTACACAACAGAAAAGGAAGAGTAGTTTGAGCGCAATATTGAGGACCTCAAAACCAAGGTCACTTCTATAAAACTTTATTTTACACTTTTTCCTTTCCTTTCCCTCGAAAATTGCCCAAACAATTAATTATTGAGTTTCATAAACATAGCCCTAAACCTTTCTAGTAAGATCTATTAGAAAAAGCTAAAACTCAAAACAATAATCGAAACAAGGTATTTTTGTTAGTAAATGTCATTTTTTTACTATAAATAAATGCATAATTTACCAGTAACTAACTTAAGTTCTCAACTTCTTTGAATATTTGAAGTAGAATTTTCCTATTACAGCATAATGAAGTTGAAGCCTTAAATGCAATACTAATGTAAAGACTGAAATTAGATACCTAAAGCCTAAAGGTACTTTTCTTTTCTCTTACTAATAAAACATATTTTTATATTGATCCAAATTGGAAATAAATGAAATGTTGAACATGCATATTGATATTTTGTGCAAATTTAATCTTGAAGTGAGCTAACGCACTTCAAATAGAAGTTGTTCAAATGGAAGGAATTGCTTAATATTGTTTCCATTCGAAGTTGTTGAAATGAAAAGAGTTGCTTAGTTTTTTCGTGTTTGTGGAACTGATTATTTGGTTTGAACTGCGTTTAGTTTTATAGGGTTAAAATATTATGAAGTTATTGAAAATGTTGGTAAACTGAAATAGTCAATTGAACCTCAGAACAGGTTACTCATGAAGGAGAGGGACCATAGCACCAAATTTTATTGTGTTAGCGTGATCTCGAAACAATGTAAACTATCAGGCTTTCATTTCACATTTGTTAGCTATCTTCCACAACCAGTCTCTCATGGCTAATTATATGTAGCATTATCAAGAGCAAGAAAAATTACCTCTATTAAAGTATTACTGAAAACCATACACACAGACCATTTACACAACACGAGTATTTGCATATCTTCCTCATATAATTGTAGAAATTTCATTTAAGTCTCGGAAAGTCTAAAATTTATGTGCCTTCTATTGTGTGAAAATTTGTTGTTATTTTACAGATATTCAGATGAAGAGATTAATGACGTTTAAGTTTTCTTTCTTCAACTAGGTACTCTTTTCACTATGTTTGAGCAAGAAAGAGAAGCAATTTTTTGTTTACATTATGAAAAGATCACCGACCGTGTTCTGGTGATGAAAAAAATCATCGACCCATTTCTATATATACTTTGGAGGTAATTTTCTTTTAGGTTATGAATGTGATTTTAAAGATTACTGATTTTATTTTGTTAGTGGAAATAGCTTTTGGCTGATTTTATTTTACTGAATTATTTCATAAACTGGTTATTTTTTTGTTGATGTTGAAAATTGTATGAACAACATTCAAGCCAACTTTAAATGAAAATGAGATCTTTTATTGACAAAAATCATCGACCCATTTCTATATATACTTTGGAGGTAATTTTCTTTTAGGTTATGAATGTGATTTTAAAGATTACTGATTTTATTTTGTTAGTGGAAATAGCTTTTGGCTGATTTTATTTTATTGAATTATTTCATAAACTGGTTATTTTTTGTTGATGTTGAAAATTGTATGAACAACATTCAAGCCAACTTTAAATGAAAATGAGAACTTTTATTGACAACTACTTGTAAATTATAATTATCACTGCAAGTGTTTTACTCTTTTCCCTCAAGGAGAACCGACATTGAAAAATACTCTTAAATTTCATGTTTCAAATATCTCCTTGAGGGAAAAGAGAAACACTTGTAGTGATAATTATAATTTACAAGTAGTTGTCAATAAAAGTTCTCATTTCCATTTAAAGTTGGCTTGAATCTTGTTCATACAATTTTCGATGTTAACATTGTTATTAAAAAATTGATAGGGGCAAAACCTAAGCATTTAGCGTTTTCAGGGGCTTTTGGGATTAAATTTTGCGTCTTCACCATCTGTGATATGCTAACGTTTCATTGATATTAAAAACTAATTTTATTGAGATTGAATTGAGCTTCTAATTTATGTTGCTTTTAATATATTGCCCATTAATTTTTCAGTTTTTTCTCAAGTAGAAATGGAAAACGGAAGCTTATTGAGTTTATTTCCACTATAACTTAGTTGCTCAATAGCTCATTTGACTCTTTGGTAAATTACTTCTCTGAAAATGATGCTTACTTTGTAAGATCAATGGGAACCATTTAGTGTGTCCGTAGTATAAGTGGTTGCATTTTGTAGCACATAGAAAAGAATAGAGTGTAAGAAATGTTGATTTTAGTTGTGTAATATCAAGTGTCAGCCGATCAACTGCTATTTATATGAGAACAATGAATTGATTAACGAAGTTAATCCAAAAAAGAGGCGCAAGATATATCTTAATTTGTAGGGACAGAGCTGCATTAATGCCACAATATCTATAGAATACAAAAGTAGTTTTCCTCGTACTACTGCAATGCTATTAATTATTTTTTGTTTCCGGTAATTTGAATGCAAAATTACACATCCAAAAACTTGATTTCTATATTTTTATTTGTGCACCTGAAATATTTCATTGCTCTCAATGCTCAAATACTCTGCATATCATGGAGAGAGAGCTATGCTTGAGAGTCGTTTTAATAGGGGAGTGATGATGATGTCCAGAGTAAAGCATGAGAACCTTGTTAAGGTGAGAGAGATGGATACAATTGTAGTTTTTTTTTCAGTGAACCATGGTGCTAACATTTATTTTGCTCAATTCAGTATTGAAATAGGTGCTTCAAATTTGTCTATTTGTTAATTCTCAATATTGCATTAAAATGAGCATAGTTTTGACTCTTTATAATTCCAAGATGCTGTGAAAAGCATCATCTCTGTTAATTACTAGCATGAAGCATAAAGTGGTAATGTCCAAAGCGGTGGTAGAGCCAGAGGAAGTTGACGATGGAAAGGTCACTATCCTCTTCGGAACTCAGACTGGTACCACAGAAGGCTTTGCCAAGGTAAAAACTTCATTATGATAGTTTTACAAATTCCTCTTCTCTCCTCTCCTCTCCTCTCCTCTTCTTCTTCTTTTTTTTTTTCCTTTGCACAAGAACTTGCTCAAGAAGGTAAAGCTAGATATGACAAGGCTATATTTAAAGTAATTGATTTTGTGAATTTTTGGTCCATTTTGTTGTTTCTTTTTTTGTAATTATGATGTTTCTATTCTACTATTTAAAGCTTTGATCATAATGTTGTGATCACTTGATTGAATTTTTTAATTTTTTTGATAGGATGATTATGTAGGAGATGATGAGGAGTACAAGAAGAAGTTAAAGAAAGAAAGTTTAGCATTCTTCTTAGCCACATAGGTTTCATGAAGCATTGTTCTTAGTTGCTAAAAATACAACTTCTTACATTTATGGGTGAAAAAAATTATGTGTGTACATTTTGTGAAATCAGATAATCAATGAATTTTTTGTATCCATTTTCTCATTGATTTCCATTGATTTGGTTGGTGGTTTCAGATATGGAAGTGGCGAACCTACCGACTGTACAACATGGTTCTATTAAGTGATTTGCAAAGGTAAAATATAATAATAGGGAGTTACCTTCTCCATAAGACGTTGCATTAGATTTGGGTTAATTTTCATATGTGGTGCAGGAAGAAGAGAGGGGAAGGGACTGGCTTAAGAATCTTAATTATGGAGTATTTAGCTTTGGAAACAGACAATTTGAGCATTCTAACAAGGTCTGAGACTAACAAGGTCTGAGATTGATAGTTAGAAAATATCAATAAAAATCAGTTCTGCAGTAGCTTATATCTTTACATCTCAGATTTTATTATTCTATAAATCTTATTAGTGATAATCAGTAGATTTTTTTGTTGTTCGGTGTACTAAATTAATAACCCCGCTAAATACATCGGATAATAAATTTTTTTTATATCCTTTAAGGACCAATAAATATGTAAAATAATAACTGCTTAAATTCATAAAAGTTCATACTGATATTGCGTGAATTTTTTTACATGATGGGCATTTTCTACATGATTTTTTTTCACTCTTGTGTAACAATAGTGCACATTGGGAACTGAAGTGTTTTTGTGTTGAATTCTTTTCTTTGGAATTACATTTCATTTGTAGCGCATGAGGTCAAATTGATAAAAACAAATACTCAATTCATTCTAGATTGACAAAGTTCATTAGTTTTTATTGCTATATATCCTCTATAATGATTAAAGATGTTTCATTTGCTTGTTATAAATATTAGCCCATCCTAATCTTCTGCAATAGCATCACTCTATACATGATGGAAATGGAAGCCTAGAGTTAATGCTAAATTTGATCTGGAAACTTTCTTTTGTTGTTACTTTTGTGAAGTGTTCAGAGAAGGCAAATGAAACGGGAAAATAAATAAATTTGTTATAACAGGTTCAAAGTGTTTTTTACTTCTTCTATATTTTCCACATAATTTGTTATGAAAAAATAGCATTTTACAGATTTCTAGACATTCATGTCTCCCTTTCTTAAATCCTTATAGTTTTTGACGCAATAATCAATAAAGTTTGGCATGTGAATAGCCCTTTTATTGACAGTATGTCTAAATGAAGAAACTGGAATGCATTAATAAATATGAAAATTTTCCTCCAGGCTAGCCCACTAGACCATATAATTTTCCTTCAAAACAAAGTTCATGTTGATGGTGGAAATAGCATGATGGTAATCTTCTTTCCCATTCTATCCTTTAGAGTATTTTTATGTTTTTCCTTCTTTTTTTCTTTGGGTAAATGGGTTGGGCGGTTACATATTAATGCAAGTAATTACAAAACAGAATTTTGTAATCACAACGATTTATGTCAAGTAGAAGTTTAACTAAATACATACGATATATACCAATAAGGGCAATGCACATAATTAGATTCAGTTGCAGGATATGAAAAATTGTTGGAGGATTTTATAAAATG